GCGTTGAAAGCGTCAGTTGTAGATACGCGCTGATACACCACAAAATGCGAACTTCCTGGGAACTCTGTCGTCGTGTCAGCCAACCGAAGCTCGCCAACGAGCCGGTTGTTCGTGCAGTTGCACAACCTTTTCGCCACATGAGACTCCCTCATGACATTAGCATTACCGACAAAGAGAAGGGAGACTCGAATGGCCTGTCCTGGCTTTTGTTTGTCCCCAGTTATGTAATCCGAGAGGCTCGAAATCGCTACCTTTTGGTCAGATGTTCAGCGCCCTAACCACTGAGTCACGAGTTCGTTGTCTTACCGATGGGGATCAGGTATATTAACAATGGTAGAAGGGCGCCCGCCGATCGCGTCACACAACTCGCACGTCCTGTTGTGCTTTGGGGGTCTCTGTCGAGCCCCGCCCGGCAGCCACACAGCGGCGAGTAAGATAGGCACCTAGTCACCTCCAATCACTTCAGTGCGTGACCGATCTCATGAAACGTTGGCCGAAATTCTGGAATGCGTTTTCGATTAGGAAGGGTTACTTAGGGGGATTTGTAATACTGATTATCTTGCTGCATAAATATTTCAGACTCGGAAGGATGTCGACCTTCGAATGCACTTCTTTTCGACTTCCTGTAGAAACCGTACGTGGTGAAGAATGACTACTTGAGTGGTATACATTTTTCACGTTGATTGTCGGTGGTTTTATAAATTCAAATACATTTTATAGAAAACATGCACAAAATATGCCTTCTTTTGCTTATTTGCTAGAAAGTCGCATTGTGTTCACATTTTATGCCCGAAGATAGGGTATATTTTGGTTTTAAAAAAGTTTCTAGTTATGGGATTTTTAAGACCGTGTGACATCCATGCATACAGGACCGCACATGTCCGTTTACCAAGGATCCTCATAAAATTTACGACACGGTCCGGATCCAGTGCAACATTTTATGAATTCTATATAGCTTCTTCTTGAAAGCATAGAGCAATATATGCTTTTCCTTACGCGGAAGGCACACACCTTGCAGATTGAAATCGATAAGCGCTAGTGCAATGGCAGATCAGGCTAAAGACTATTCGGGAATTAGGAAGCTTTTTTAAAACCTAAATATATATTTTCTTCGAGTATAAAATATGAAGAAAATGTGATTTTCTACCAAAAGAGTAAAAGAAAGCATATTTTGTGCATAATTTCCATAAAAGGTATCTGAATTTATAAAACCTCCAAAAATCAATGTGAAAAATCCATGCTACTTAAGTAGTTTCTTTGTCGCGTGTGGTTTCGGTAGGATGTTACAAAGAAGTGCATTCAAAAGCCGACATCCTGGTGAGTCCGAAATGCTATAGGGTTATGCTGCATGATAATCAATATAACAGTCCCACTTAAGTAATCCTTCCAAGTCGAACACGCATTCCAGAATTTCGGCCAACATTTCATGAGATCGGTCACGCACTGGCAGAGAGGCCCGGATAGCCACGACCAGTCGTGGCGTGGATGAATTTTGCCTGACAGGATAGCACTCTCTTTCCAGGGCTGAGATTTTGGCTACAGCAGCTACTTCTTAATGAGGCCTTCATGGTATTCTCACTGACCTAAGATTCGACCCGTTCTTAAAAAAGTCCGGAACGTGGAGGGGAGACTGTTTCGCACGTGGCACGCTTAGACGAGCTGATTAGCTTTCTTCGGTTGACTTGCCGATGTCTTCTCACCGAACCCAGGTGGGGGATGTAGGAGAGAGTGTGTTAGATGCTGCGTAAGTCAGCCTCGTTATGAACAACTGCACGCGCAAGCCACCGGTATTGAGCACGCGATAGACCTAGTTGCCCGCAACGGTCGAACTAAAATTTGTACAGCAGTCTGCCACCAGTTAAGTTGCACAACGTTGCCATCACAGATTTGAACAATTGGGGCTACCTGCTAACCGCACAGAGATCGGAAATAATCTGCTTTTGTAGTTTTCCTGCAGACTTCAACTTTTTCTAGCCTTTAGTATTCGGATTTTCAAATAAAGGACCCCAAGCACTGTTCTTACGCGAATGAACGAATTTCTGTCAGTAGGTGATAGTGTTAACTGCGACACTCCGCCAAGGAGCCTAAGAAGTGACTTGCTGATAATCAAGGTCCGTCTTATGG